TTTTTACAGAGAGGAAGGGAGAGGGATAGAGAGTTAGAAACATCGATGAGAGAGAAACATCGATCAGCTGCCTCCTGCACACTCCCCACTGGGGATGTGCCCGCAACCAAGGTACATGCCCTAGACCAGAATCGAACCTGGGACCCTTGAGTCCGCAGTCCGATGCTCTATCCACTGAGCCAAACTGGTTAGGGCAATTAATTCCCTTTTAATATGCACGAATTTCGTGCACCGGGCTACTAGTACCTATATAAAGTACAAATCCCTATGAAAGGAAAAATGAAATGTTGAAAGAAGAGATCTCTTCTACACTCATGATCTTTGATCTTTTTACTCTGCATAGTTTTGCCTTTTCCAGAATGTCATATAGTGAAATCACAGTGCATGGCCTTTTCAGGTAGCATTTTTCACAGAGTTGTATACATTTACATTTCCTTCGTGTATTTTCATGGCATATAGCTCCTTTCTTTTTAGTGTGGAATACTATTCTACTGTCTGGGAGGCAGGAGGAAAGGGAAGGGATAGAAAGATTAAGGAAACAGGAGAGAGATGAGATAAAAAAAATTAAAGGCCTTTGGGTAAGGGTGGAAGGGAAGATCTAGTAATAGTTATAATATCAAGTATAATACAAGGGAAATCAAGATTTCTGAATTATATTTTAAAGTCAATTTTCTACAACTATTTCTTGTCAAAGATATTTTTGAAAAAGGTTTATCTTCACTTATGTTTCTAATTCTAAAAGTAATGACATTGATTTTTAATGGTTGAGTTAATTAGGATTCGATGAATTATCCCAATGTTAGTGTGTAAAAATCAGCCTGCTGTGACAAATGCAGTTTGAGTGAACAAAAACATATCTCTATAAAAAGCATTTTAACATTATATCATACAAATGATTGCCTTAAGGTTTCAATTTAAAATATTTTAATACTGTTTGTATTGAGTTCCTATCGCTGCTTTACAAATTACCACCCATTTAGCAGCTTAAAACAAAAGCCACTTATTAACACATAGTTCAGTTTCTCACAAGACTTACATCAGTGTGTTAGCCTGTATTCTCACCTGGAGCTCCAGGTATTCTCAAGTTTATGTGGTTGTGGTAGGATCTGATTCCTTGTGGTTGTACAACTGAGGTTCCCATTTCCTTGCTGGCTGTCAGACAGGGACTGTTCTCAGCTCCTAGAACCCATTCTCATTCCTTTTCACATGGCTCCCCACCTCCATTTTCAAAACCAATGATGGAGAATCTTCATTGTGTCCCTCTCCTATTTTGAGTCTTTCTTGCCAGGAAGAGTTCAGTTCCTTTTAGGGGCTCATCTGCCATGGAGGATCATCTATTTTTCTTAACAGCAAATGTGACATATAACAAACCCAATTATGAGAATGAATATCCCATCCTATTCACATGTCCCCAGGATTGTACGGGACAAGGACAGCCACAGAGGACAAGGATCTTGGAGAACTTGTTAGAATTCTGCCAGCCACACTATTAAAAAACAGCAGCATCATGAAGAAGTGTACAGCCCTTCTAAGCAAACAGACGTAGAAAGAAACTTACCTCTATGATGACAAGATAGAATCTAAGTATATATTTAGTTTAAAGCTTATCACTTTTACTGATGACTAAAAGTTTTGTAAATACAGTTATTTGAACTACCAAACTGAGCATTTGCATTATCATAAACATTTGTTTTCTGTCAAAGTTTCTACTATTAAAAGCTATGGCCTTTGGTGGCAATTTAACTTTAATCAATATTATTGAAAGCATTTAGGGCTTGTGACAGGCAGAAAGGGGACACTGAAGTGGTGAAATGTCTGCAAGGTTGGATTTTTAGCTAAAAAATTGGGATTATTTCTTAGTGAACAGTCCTCATTTTTTAAATTTATATTTAATAGAGCTAAGCATAGAGCCTGGCACTGAATAGGTCTCATATCCTTATTAAATTGTATGTTGATGTGAACAGTTGTTAGATAGTCATATCATGTACAGATATGATGCATATTTGAAGGTCACATAGATAAATAGGTACGTGATCTGTACCTGTCAGCGTAGGTTCTCTGTTATCCAAATACATTCCCAGAATATATCAGAAATTTGTCTTTATCTTATACCTAATACCACGAGCAAACCCATTTTATTTTATTTTAGTTATCTGCCACCAACTTGCCAGAGTGACTTTATAGAAACAATTTTTAAATTTCCTCCTCTCTCAAGAGTGAATGCTCTACCTCTTGGGAATTTTGGATGGAATTCCTATATAATAAAGAGGTAATATGCTAATTAATCCTCACACCCTCACAAGATGGCTGCCTAGGAGGCGGAGCTGTTGACGCTGACTAGCACAGAAACCGACCAATCAGAACTTAATCTGGGTGAACTGTGAAGGCAGAAATCAAGGTGGAGGCTGAGGAGAGGTTTTAAGGGCAAAAGCTGTTTGGTGTAAGGTGTAAGAAAGCAGTTCAATTTTTTAATGACTGGTTTGGCAGTATAGTGCATATGACTGGCTCTAAGTCCAAATATAGGGATTATGTTTTTTTGTCTACCAAGAGCATCTCCACCTGCTGAAAAAGGCTTTTTCCCCCCATTTTCACCACTTTAGTGTCCCCTTTCTGCCTGTCACAAGCAATCCTCTCCTATATAATCTATCTATACTAATAAAAGGGTAATATGCTAATTAGACCGGGTCAACTGACCATCTTTTGGATGTCCAACTTTCTTCCGGACAAAACCATGGTGATGGGGGCCAAGGCAGAGGCAGTTAGGGGTGATCAGGCTGGCAGGGGGCTAGGGGCAATCAGGCCGGCAGGGGAGGGCAGTTGGGGGCAAAATCAGGCTGGCAGGGGAGGGCAATTAGGGGCGATCAGGCAGGCAGGCAGGTGAGCAGTTAGGAGCCAGCAGTCCCAGATTGTGAGAGGGATATCCGATTGGAGAGGGTGCAGGCTGGGCTGAGGGAACCCCCACACACACATCCTGTGCACGAATTTCATGCACTGGGCCACTAGTAATTAAATAATAATGTGAAGTGTGAGGGCAGTTGGTGTTTTGTTCCTTCAGAAAAGCCTGCTTTCCCCAGAGCCACACAGAATAGTGCCAGATTGCGAGCTTTTGATTGCAAGGGAGAAAGTAATGTTTCTCCATGCCAACCCCATCCCTTCACCAAAACCTGCTCAGTAGCTACAAGAAAGTGAAACTCTTTTTTTAAAAAATAAAGGTATAAAAAAAGAGAAATTATGTTGAGGGAATTATAAAAAAAAAGATAGTTCATGCTGCTTGAAAAGATCTATATCTAATATTAAGACATACAAAATTAGAAATGTCCTTGCTCTGTGTGCGCAGTTAGCTTGACATTTTACTCATTGGTGATAGATAGAGTTAATGCAGAAACATCCTTCTAAAGCACCCCTTCAGGTGCATTAGATTATTTCACATTTAAAGGTTGATTGGAATAAATTAATAATCAGTGCTAAGCCATCTATTCATGATGCTAATTTGATTCCTCATGTAGCACCTCTTCCAGAATCATTCTGGCTTAGTAATTGCTTTCTTATCTCCCCTATCTCATGCTTAGGTACAAGTTATAAAGAATGTACTCAAAACAAGTTACATCCATTCATTTATTGAACATTTATCCATTCGTACCTTTTCATTCTTTACTTTTATTTAAAATAAACATATGCAAAGTATGGAAGGTCCTTGGAAATTGTACTCAGGTGAAAGTATTTTTTACTGCTTTTCTCATGGTGATTTGCAAAATACCTCAATAAGCTATGAGAGAGAAAAAAAATCATGGTCCAAATTTTTGGACATTCAGATTACTTTTTTCAACTTGTATATTTTTAGCAACTACATGCATATTAAATTGTCTCACAAGTTTTCTATTAAGAAACCTAGAACAAACTTGACCATTGGATATGCCCCCCAAACACACACACACACACACACACACACACACACAGACACACACACACACCCCTCTTTCTTTCATAATACTGTACTCTTTGGAACAAACTTTGGCAAATGCTAGTCTGTGACAGTGCCTGCCCTATGCCATCAGTGGTGAGTCTGCCTTCTACATCAGAGTGTTAACCCAATGAATGTCTCATTGCTTTTGAATAATCCTGTTTAAAAATGTTGCTAATATAAATCAGAAATATTGTTCTGGCAAACTTGTGAAATTAGCCATATCTAAAATAGAGGGCTTTGTGAGTAGATGAATATAAAATTTTACAGTTTCATTTTAAGAGCTATATGATTTTAAATTAAACCAATAAATATCTTCCATACTTTAGAGTTTTTAAGATTGGTATGTTTCTTGAGAAGTTCCATCTAATTGAAATTCAAATGAACAATGCTAACCGAATGGAGTCCCACTGTGTCTAACCTGGCAGTTGTGTCTAAATGGGAACAGATAGCAGTTCTTCCTTTATCTGTGTTCAGCGCCTCCAATCACATGGAGGAGAAGCCCTGTGGGATTCACTACTCACAAGGTGACAAACTTTTTCTTAGCTCTGTGGTCCTCAGATACAGTAGGAGCTTCAGAAAATAACTGTCTAGATTTAATTTTTAAAGCAAAATATGAATGTGAATAATATACAATACCAGAGTAGTCAGTTATTAATAGACTTATTTTAGACGATTGAACCACATCTAAGAATCTTGATGACTAGTGGTCTCAAAGAGGTATCTGGTTCTTTGTTAATGATATGAGCAAAATATTCAGAACAATGGGATCCAATTTTGAGATTTCTGAAGAATTAGGCCAAGGTACACATTTTCATTAAAAGCTCCTTTGAGAAATTAGATGCACACCTAACTCTGTTTTAAAAACCCTTGTCTAGATCAAAGACACTCAACTTCTTATGATCTCTTGATATGGGAAAAAGTAGACTGAAAGGTTAGAGTAAGTCTGCAAATTTGACACCTTTGTAAGATAATGGACTTGTATGATTTATATTCATTCCCCTCCCCCACCAGGATTTCTATAGTACCGAGCAAGTGGTAATTACTCAATAAAATATGCTCAAAGAATCAGTGAATGAATTAATGAATGACTTGTGAGCAAGAAAGAGAGGAACTTGACAAAGTATCCAACAAGAATAATTTAGATTCCTAATTGGGTCCTAATTTTTCTCATTGGGGATTCTGGATTTTGATAATGATTAACATAAGAAAATGCACTAACTCATATCATGATTATTCCTTGTATATAATTCATTATTAGATTTTTACTTAAGATTTGTATGCACTAAGAAGTGCTTTTCATATAAATTACTTTTAAATTCATGACAATGATACATGTATCGACAAGAGGACAATGTTCTTTTCTCTCAAATCAAATTGTCCCATAATATCACCCGCTCTGACTCTCAGTAATGGTGCCTGTCCTGCTGTTCTTTGCAGCCAGCCGTTGCAAATGCTGATATCATGTTTATTAAAATTCACATTCCATGGGACACGTTGTGCAAGTATGCAGAGAGGCTGAATATCAGGATGCCCTTCAGGTACTTTCCAATTTTATTTCATCTCTCTAAGTGTATATTAGGATTGGTCATTTTGCAAAACCTTAGGGCAATAAATGTAACCATTTCGACAAGGGAAATGCTTTTTCTTCCAAAGGTTGGATAATCTTGGACACTTTTTCTCTTTTCTGGTATCTTTCTCTAATGTGGTAAACTTTCTGCTTCCTTAGATACTTTATATCATTGCTAGGTGGACTTGCCTAGAGGGAGAGAAAAACAGTCGTTTTCAAATTATAACTGATAACATAATTCCCAAGATCAATCTCACTTCTTATTTCATGTGAGGAGATAGAACTCTTATTGTTTTTGTGGAAGGAAGGCAGTGTAAAATGTACCATCCTTATGTATACAAGTGCAGTGTTCTCTGGATATTGGTTAGCAAGAATCATCCCTTAGGTGCAATTCAATCAGATGGTTTCTTAGCTCTGCCCTCAGTAACAATGGAAAATAGTAATAAGATGCCTGCTCAGTTAAAGATTTTTCAGTCCTTCCTATAGGTTAGCAAATAGTGAGCAGACATATTTTCTGATATTGTATATCTTGTATTATATGCAAAATGTTTCACCTTCCTTCATCGTTTCTCAAAATAAAATTCAACAGTGTTCCTACTATGCACAAAGTGTTAACTCACATTGAAGATATGAATATTTACATTTATTTGGAGCTCAATGTGCTTTCTCAGCTGCTAAGAATGTTTTAAAAGGTTCACAGTAACAAGGTACCATTAAAACAGGCATCTAGATAATAAAAATGAAAGAACAGTAAGGGTGCAAGTCATAAATATGGAGATATTTCTCACACCTGATAACATGAAAGAGGCCAACTCTGTTAAGAGTGCTGACATCCTTAAGAACTATGCTATTCACTTTTTAAAAAATGATATTAATTTTTTATTTTCTGGTAATGGTGCATTTAAAAGAAGAGTTCTGATACATCTGAAGAAAGAAATATAAAAACCATAAAACCTATGCAGTTTACCATCTCTTTTTCTTGATGTTGTCTGAAATTTTCATCTTTTTTTAAAATATATTTTCAATGATTTCAGAGAGGAAGGGAGAGGGAGAAAGAGAGAGAAACATCAATGATGAGAGAGAATCATTGACTGGCTGCTTCCTGCATGCCTCCCACTTGGGATTGAACACACAACCCAGGCATGTACCCTGAACAGGAATAGAACCATTACCTCTTGGTTCATAGGTTGATGCTCAACCACTGAACCACAATGGCTAGGCAAGTGTTCTCACATTTAAGAACATATACTAGTATACTGTCTTAAAATTAAAATGTACAAGAATAACAATGAACTTAAATAGAAAAAATACATACATATCTCTTTTTAAGGATTTATGCATAAAAATGTTAGCTATGTTTGGCTAATCTATGTATTTATTCAGTGTTGAAATGTACATATTACATTCCACAAAGAAAAGCTGCAAATTTATTTAGGAAAATTATATTGGAATTATAAACCTATCTGCAAATTTTTCAGCTAACTTATTGAATAAACATGAATTTTGAGAAATTTATCTAATTTTCAGCTTGAATGTGTGTACAGAATTGTATGTACTATATTTTCTAGCTAATTCTTTACTTGATTATTTGTCCAAAGTAAATATGGCCTACATATTGGACTTAATGTTTTAAAACTAACCAAGAATATTTCAGAGAGTTAAAATAATCTACATTTCCCAGTTTTTATTCTATGAGGAAGGACTTAATCTGTCTCCTCTGTAGTCTAGAAATATCAAGTCCTGATTTCATTATTTTTCTCTTGATTCAGAGGTGTTTCCTATTCATTCTTAGCCCACTTTCACATTAAAAGTTTCAAACATATTTTAGGATGATTCAGTTATCCTGTAGCTTCTTAGGGTGAATTCCCAGATGGGGTCAACCTTACATTTTTCCTCAAGCTTCTCCTCCCACAAATATTTTAAATATAGAAAATTTGGGGGAATACTTAAAAATTATTAAGAACGATCTTTTCTTTCTAGATGGAAGAACAATCTTCCTTTTTAATCACAATTAGGATTAAATTCTGATCACTTTTTGAATGCAAAAGATACTTTACTCAAAAAATAAAATGACACAAACATACAGGAAGCCCAATATGTAGAACAGATCAAAGTGGAGTAGTTCTGCTTGACAGGAGAAGGGGGTCCTGGGTCCCAGCCATGTGACTGCCCTCCTCACTCGGCCCCACAGTCATCTCCACATGTGGCCACCTGGCTCTGTGAAACACTGGTTGGAAACAGTATTGAGATAATTATTTATGGTTAATTTTGAGTGGTTGTTGTCATAGGTGGGTCGATAGGTAGATAAATGCTCTCTTGATGCAAGGTGGAAATTAGCAGACTCTTTTCAAAGGAAAAAATAAAGTTCTGTACCCAAATAGTACAGTCAATAAATGATCCTCAACTTGCAATTTATACTCCAGTGATTACCAAATTAGTCGCAGTTCCTGAACCTTAACATCATTTGTTCTTGCTGCCATAACCATTTCATATGCGGGCCAGAAAGCCATGCCCCCAGTACTCACTCAGAGGACTATTCCCACTCATGCTTCAAGATTCCACACAGACAACACATCCTCCGGGAAGCCTTCCATTCTCCTTTCTCCTCCGTCTACAGAAACCGATTGGGATCCCTTCCTGGGAACGTCCACAGCACACTGTTATCCTGCAGGGTCACATTTCATTGTAACTACCACTTGTCTCCTCAATGGTAAAGGAAGCTCTTTGAGGGAAAGACCCTCCTTATTTTCCAAATCTTTAAAGGTTATACCTTATTATTCCTTGCAAAATCAGAAATATTCATTACATATATGCTTGTATAGATGGATGAATGGATGGATGACTTCATATAACAAATGATCCAGTTAATATGCATTGCGTAGAATAAGTGAAACCTTTAAAAAATAGAATTAAAAATCAGAATTCTAAAGTGATTTATTGATTTATAAAAGTGATTTTGTTATTAGTAATTTAGATTCTGAAATTAAAACAATGTAAATTCAGAATTATTTCTACTTTTAAAAATTTTATCTTTAAAGTTGAAAGTATTACAGATGTTACTTTTTTTTCCCATTGACCTCTTCTAGTCCGTCCTCTGCCCCAGGCCTTCAACACACTGTTGTCTGTGTCCATGGGTTATATATATCTGCATATAAATTATTTGGTTACTCTTTTCCCACCCATCCACCCACCTCTGCCTTCTATCTGAGATTCCACAGTCTGTCCTACTATACTGGCTGATTTTATGTCTTTCTGAAGCATTTGGAAGTTGGAATATTGAAATGCTCAATATAATTGAATGTTGTCATTCACTGGTTTCACTATTTTCATTTGACTTTCCCCAGCTGATGTTTTTATTTTTCAGGAAAAGATCCTACTACACTGACCCACGGAGCAAATCAACGGGCAGGTTGGTGGGTGATGCCTAATTTGTTTATGACTAATTTGTTATTTGGAGGGGGGGATAGAAATACATTCAATTACCCTTATCAGCAGTTGTAAATTTTAGGGGGAAAAAACGCACTTTATTGATTTATTTAAGAGATTTCAAAAATGACTTGTGCCAAATTTAACAATGTTTAAAAACAGGTAAATGTTTTTTTATGCACCATTGACATTCTTGCAATCCTCACTTGACATAATTGCAATTATATCTCCCATTTTAGGAGATTTTACTTTTAGAGATAGTTATAAAACCAGATTTATAGGTAAATGTTTGACCCAGTAGAGTAATACAACAGACCCAACAGAGACCTTCTGGATCAGATGATCCAAATCTCTTATTTGACAGGTGGTAAAGGAAAGACCAGCATTTACAGTGATGAATCGAATAGCCATGCAGCACATTTTCAATCAAAGACCTACTCTATTTCACCACCTGAATCTTTCTTAGCCTAGCATTAAAACAAACTTCTTTTCAAAGTGTTTCATCTCTTGCCTATTTGGGTAAAAGTAGCTATGACAAAGGAATTAATCAAACTACAAGCCTGAAAGAGAAGAAATTATCCCACCTGAATGCCTGACCCTGTTTCACTAGAGGAAATGATTTTGCCTTTACTGAATACTAAAACAAAAGGCTCCTTACACTTGGCTGTTTTTCTGTTCGTTGTAAAATAATCAATTACCAAAAACAAAATGTGAATGTGCTAGAGTATGCTCTATTGAATAGTATTGCAGGATGTTACAAGTCAGATGACAGAAACCAGAAGCATATAGTGCAAATATCAGTCCATTTTAGGAAAGGATTCAGTAAATCTAGTTCTTTTACCAAGAAAATGGCTGAATATAATTTAGAACTTTACAATAGAAAAAAATTCAGTTTTAAAATAGGGGAATATTGGTGTCTTATAGATGTGGTCAGGATTGGTAACAAGATAAGTTAATCATGGGGAGGGAGACATAATATTAAAAAAGTACTAAAGGAACCAGTATTCAAATCACTCTTTTTAAAAACGATTGTTAATGATGATCTTCAGCCAAGTCAGGTTTTTGTTGTCCAGTTAGCATGCTTGGATTTAGAATGGGCTTTGATCATTGCCCTTGTTCCTATTTGGTCCTGGTCTGTGTAGCAAATTTCCGAAGTTATTTTTGCATAATAAAGCCAAAGTCATTGGAATATTGTAATTTATAAATTTACAACTGCAGGTTTTTCTTTTTTTCTGCATGTGCCTGCTCAATGTTGGACATGTTGCTAAATGTCTGGGTTTGTTTTCATGTGCTCTATAGAATTAGTGAGATTTTTCTGCTGTGTAATTAGTGGGTTTTCTGATAAATAGGCATCTTTCTTTCAGAGACTTGCAGAAGGGTAAAATGCTGCATGTTAAAATAGCAACGGATGTGTATTTATGTAGTACTGTCATAATTTAGTTTTAGCATAAGTGTGTTTAGAATGGCTAATAAATCTGTGTATATTAAATCCTAAAGAAACATTTCATTTTTATAATATTTTTATTGTTTTTTCTTAGAGGGAGGAGGGAGAGAAAGAGAGAGGGAGAGAAACATAGATGTGCAAGAGAAACATCTACTGGTTGCCTCCTGCACACACCTAGACAGGATTGAACCCACAACCTGGGTATGTGCCCTGACCATATCCGAACCACCACCTCTTGGTGTACAGGACAAAGTTCCAAGCAACCCAACACCCAACCAGGGCACATTTTTAGTAGTGGGAAAAAATGTTTCTATTTCGGTCAAATTTAAAAGTAAACTAGAAAATGAAAACTCTACTGTGTGTCCTATGTTTATTATATTTTGTATTTTTTTATTTCATGAAATAAAAAATCAGTTATAAGTTATTTCAAATGACCATTAAAGTCCTTTAAGCACAAATAAAAAATCAGTTATAAGTTATTTCAAATGACCATAAAGTCCTTTAAGCACAAACCTCCTTACAATTTACTTTTCACAAATATTCTCTATGTTCCTTTACTTTGTGGATGTGTGTGGGGTGGGTAGCTAATAAATAGGAAAGGTGATTATGAAAACATATTACATATTAAACTGAAAAAAGAATATCATGTTATTTGCTTTAATTTAGACTTTCAATTGAGAAAATGAATTATCTAGATTTTTTTTAAAAATACATTTGTAGAAAATTAAGATGTGTGTGTGTGGAGGGGGTGATCATCATTGTTACAAAATTACAAAACCAATTTGTGGATCGTTGGAAAGAGGGGAAAAATTAATCATGAGTACTTTGATTCAATTGTGCTTATTCTTTCTTGAAGTGGGAAAGGTGTTTTGTGCAAAGATATTTTAGCCAATAAACATGAGGGGATAATTAATGTACAGGCACTTATCCAGCTTTTGAAGTTCATCGTTTCTCCAGACAGGTTGATAGGCAATAGTTACAGTTTTATTATTGGTGCTATTTATCATTTGGCACTGCACTTTCGCATTCAATTAACAAAGCATCTTCAAAATGACCCTTCAGGGCAGGAGAACACATTGTGGGTTTTCTGATAAACAGGCATCTTTCTTACAGAGACTTGCGGAAGGGCAAAATGCTGCATGTTAAAATAGCAACAGATGTCTGTGTGGAGATCAGGAAAAATCAATGACTCCGTCCTCACTGCTCCCCACCACCCAGGACTCATCCCCCAACCTTCCTAGCTGGTGTGGTACAGTTGGGGCTCTCACCAAGTTCTTTTGACCTTTTAATTCAGATTTCTTTCCTGCATGTGTGTGGTTGTGAGTGTGTTTATGTCTTTTGAGAAGTCATTTTTGGAATGGCAGTGGAAGGTAGGCATGACTCTGGAATGCAACCTAATCTAATTCTAAAATGTGGCTTTGTTCCAGTATGCACAATTATTTTAGAAGACTCAAAAAATGGATGTCCCAAAACCCAATGGTTCTGGACAAGTCAGCGTTTCCAGACCTGGAGGAGTCAGACTGCTACACTGGCCCCTTCAGCCGTGCGCGGATTCACCAGTGAGTCCCCATCTGTTTTCTCCCATGACCTGCCTTAGTATCTGTCTTTATCTGGAAGTTGTTGATAGAATAAACATAGCTGGGACCAGTTCCATTGTCTTCCAAATAAGTCAGAGAATGTATCATTTTATTAAAATGCACACTTAGAATAAAACTCAGTGAACGTGATTAATTATCAACTCTGTTGTGGAGACATTCCAGTAATGAATGATTAATTGTACTAGTAAACTCATGGATTGAGCTAGCTCCCAATTCTTTCAAAATAATTATTATGGTTAGTAAGTCACTCAGTTAAAGTAACAAAAATGATGATAATAATAGAATTGTTATTAAATAACATCCTTGAATAATGGATTTTTCTAATTAAATTATATTTATAATTATGCTTAATTAATTGTATATATTAATTTAATCTATTGTAGTATAATTTTATTAAACTAAGGTGAATATGAATATTTTAGCAATTTTTACAAGCCTATCTATTTGTCTAACTACCAACATATCTCTACTCATTTATTTATTCAATTATTAAGTTTCTACATGACTCAGAATGAGGTTATGATATAGTCTCTGCTTTCACAGTTCTTCCAGGCTACTGGGTCAGACAAAAATCTTAAGTTAATAATTAAACACAATAGTACAAACATAAAGATGGAGAAATGCACAGTATACAGTAGGTTTATAGCTGCAAGATCAATTTGCTATACGCAGTTTTGAACTGACATCTTCTGGGATGTAGGATGTTAAGAGGCAGGATGAACCAGAATTCCTGGCCACTAAACATGTAACAGAACCAGTAATCAATGGGAAACCCCTTTCCAAACATTTATGTTATTATTTACTCTTAGAGGCAGATTTAGAAGCATTCTTTTTAATTCCAGCTAAGAAGTGGAGGCAGCAGTGTAAATCCAAATGAATTCCAAATTTAGAAAGACATCGACTTTTAGCTTTTTGCCATACTTTTTCAGGCTCTGTGATACAAAAATTAAAACAACAAAAAGCCTGCCATTTCTCTTTGAACCCAAGAAACTAAGGTGATCTTTGAAAAATATCAATTAGATCATGAAACTGTCTTGCTTAATACCACCCCAATGGCCTCCCATTTACACTTATCATATAATGCACATTTTTACCATGTGACCATATATGCTGTGGTCCCTCCCAACACTATCACCTCATCTTCTACAATTTCCACACCATTTACTGACTTTCAGGTCACATGCTTTGGTTTCACCCATCAAAAGCTCAACCTTAATTCTATCTTAGAGTCTTTATTCTTGCTGTTCTCTTTGCTAAGATGCTCTTCTCCCAGATCTTCACATGGAATATCCCTTCTTATATTTTTCAGCTGTCACTCAAAAGTCACCAGCTCAGAGAGACCTTCTCTGAAAATCTTATTTATAGTCCCCTTGCCCCAGTCATTCTCTATGTCATTAGGCAGTTTCATTTTTCTTTATAGCAATTTCTGAAATTATGTAACTGATTTATTTACTTCTACATTATCTGTTTCCTTTATTTGTAATGTACCTTCATAGAAAAGGAATTTATCTGCTAAAAAAATATGTTCAGGGAATTCTGAATCAATCTGATGGTAAAATATTTGGTGGATATTCCTTCTGATTCTTATCATTAACAGGACACAGAACTGTTAACTCGGTGCATCTAAGTACAAAAATAAAAAGCACAATAGCAGAATATTGGAGGGGCTCTGAGTCTAATAACATGGACAGGTATACAGATTACCATAATACAGGGCAGAGTAAAAGTAATGCATTAGGAGTGACAAGTAAAATGCACATTTTTGTAAGAAAGAGGGAGAAGCTACATCCAGAGGAGAAGACCCAGGAAACTTTTATGAAAAGCTAGTTCTTTTCAAGCCACTAAAAATGTGGAAGGAGGTGGTGAGAGTAGGGGAACAGATATGAGAAACAGAGCAAAATCTCAAGGTAAAAAAGATGGGACTCCGAGGTGATAAGTTCTACACTTTGACAAACTAACAGATACAAGAAGCCAGACCTATAAGTAAAACCAAGGGGGGAGGTTGAAATGCAAGAATAGAGAGCCTCCGAGGAAAATGATATTGGAGAGCTGCTGACAGGTTAATAGTAGGAGCCCTCTAGAGGTCAGAGCTGTGCATTAAAAATCAGGTGAGAAATTGCATGGCTGATTAGGGGTAAAGAGGGCATTCTTTTCATAACCTATGCAAGAGGCCATGAGATCCAAAGCAAGATGTGTATGGAAACCAAGAGAGACTCAGTTTAGTTCTAAAAGTTACTTTGTTTGGCAACTGTTTGAATATAGATGAAAAGAAATCAAGGACCATAGACGACCCAATACTTCAGATCTAAGAGTCTGAGAAAATGGTGGTTTATCATTCACACAAAAAAGCAACTGAAACAAAAATTGTCAGCAGTTGAGTGAGGACCAGGACACTTCCATTTTCTTTGAGGCTCCCAGGATATCATAAAGTAAATGCTGAAACAGACCCTTCCTTCCCGCCTGGAATCTCCCTTTTGCTCTTTTCATCACTGACTCTTAGGCAGTTTCTCCTTGCAACCCTCCCTTTGTAGGGACAGAATAGGGCATGAAGGGAAGGAAGAACTGTTGCTCACCGCTAATGTTTTATAAACAAAAAAGCTAGCTTGGATTGTATGGCATGGGGAATTACATGAATTTTTAATGTGCTCTGTTTGAAATTACATTGCATAATTAAAATAGATGGGAGCCCATGGAAACTCTGTTCTCTCCTCGTTCGATGCCAAACAACTAATATGAGGACATCCAGGCTTTCTTATAAACCAAACGATATTAAAGTGCATATTTGATAATGCTCTGTATGATTTATGCTTATTTTTCTCTGCCAACTGATCTTTTTAAGAAGGTGGTTTCTCTTCTGATTTGCTCTACTTCACATGCATTCGTTTAAAAGAGAAAACAGATGGATGACTTCCCAGGAAGTTGTTACTGTTGCTGGATTCTGTGCTCTGCCCTGAATACTAAAATGGATGCCCTTATCTTAACAGCTTCATAATAAACAATAAGGACACCTTCTTCAGCAATGCTACTCGAAGCAGGATAGTCTACCACATGCTTCAGCACACCAAATATGAAAATGGAATATCAAAAGTGGGTAAGAACGCTAATGGAAAATGTAGAGAAAGTTGAATTTGCTGTTACTGATATTACCCAGAAATATTTGACTGAAGTTTTGCCTTCATGCATTAAATATGAATATATAACACATTGAGCACAAACTCTAAACATTCTGTTTTCAGCCTTTCAATAAAACAAAACAAAATCTTTGAAGAACACTTGGCCATATGTATCAAAATGCCAACTGTGCAAACACTTTAGAACAGAAATTGTAATCTTGAAATTTATCCCAAGGAAATAATCAGACTTTTAATAACAATATACAAAGACATTTGTTCATTGTGGTTTTGTAATATAATAAAACTAGATTTATGTTAACTGTCCATCATTAGGAACTGACAAATAAATTAGGCTACATCCACATAATACATCTATTAAAAATGAAATAATTCAAAGATTTCTCAACACTAATAAATATTCTTTTCAGATATGTTAAGGGGTAAGGAATTCTTCCAATTTTCTGACTAAGTATTTTTAGTAAAAAGAAAAGTTACTCTAGGCTCATGTGATCTCATGTGAGTAAATATTAATATTCCCCCCATTTCATGATGTAGCGAAGTGAAATTGTATGTTAGCACCCTGCAAATTTCCATAAATTAATGTTGTAAGGATAGAATTCAACTCTTAGTATCAATCTCTTTCAAAGCCTCACTGTCCTTATAGGTGATGGTAGTTATGGAAGGCATTTGGGTTATTTTCAGTTTTCAAATTAACTTAATGTTTGAAGTTAAGTATGTTGCTGCAGAAGGAAGTCTTCATTTAAACAAACTCAAGAACTGTTGATTTCTTCTCTTTTCAGGTATCTGTAAACTGATAAACAATGGCTCATATATAGCAGCTTTTCCCCCGCATGAGGTAATTTTAAAATATAATTTCCATTAAAAAAATGTTCTCATGCTCAGTGCTTGATTCCATTTTTTATTTTATTTTATTTAAATCTGCTTCCCTCTCCCAGGAGGGTTCAATCAATGACTGGCCCTGGTCTTTTCTTAAACCCCCATTATATTTTGACTCTACACTGGTTCCCCTGCCCAGAATCCTCCTGCGATTTTCCCTCATCAGGAATTCCAGCCTCGGAGGCAACTTATGGACATGGCTTGGCCACTCTGGCTACTGCCCTCTACTCCAACACAGAGACCATTTGGGAACCACACCACTCCCAAACAGGGCAGATTCCTGGTTTGTGCAAACTACTTTGGGATACCTGAAAATCAAACACAAACCCACAAAAAACCCTACAGCACATTAGGTACTTGATTCTCTGCCTGATCATTACTTCTCTACTAGTTTTAAGTAGGAGAGCCTATTCTAAACTGTGGTGGGCTTTGCCTGCTGAGTCATGAATTCAATTTGAATTAGTTTTAACCCCCTCCCACGCACCCATGCATACACATTGTATTAATTTTAAGGCAACTTTGCATTTTAATATAAGAATGGGGTCATTAGAGGTTTCACTTCTGCACTTTCAGAACTAGTCACTCTTCTGTGTACAAATCCAAGGACTTACAGCCTTTGCCTGAGGAACCTTTGAGCCTGAGGAATTCACAGAACTGCACAACTCATAACAGATAAAATGTGTTGAGCACTTACTACTTGGCACTGAGCCAAATGTTGTTTATGGATCATCTCATTCAATCCTTGCAGAAAATCTTTGAGATAGACAATGATATTAACTCCATTTTGTAAATGTCATTGAGGCATAGAAATGTTAAATATCAAAGGTACAGTTTTGAGCCCGGGAAGCCCCACTCCATTTTCTCTCAATGATGGTAAAGTTATTGTGTTTATTAATAGACCTTAGATTCCAAACAGTAAAGTCTAGTTTACTTTAAGTTAAAAGAAACCTCATTGGTTTAAAAAGGAATTAAAGCCCTGCTGGTACGGTTCAGTGGGTTAGGCGTCATCTTTTACCAAGTGGATGCTGGTTTTTGTTTTTTTATGGCTTTTTTCCCTTGTTTCTCTCTCTTTTTTTAAAATTCTTTATTGTTCAAAGTATTACATATGTCCCCCTGTCCCCCATGATCCTCTTTCCCAGTCTGCCCACGCCCCCCAGACCTGGCCTTCACCCCTCCCCCCATTGTCTGTGTCCATTGGTTATGCTTATATGCATACAAGTTCTTTGGTTGATCTCTTACTCCTACCCCCCAACTCCCCGCCCCCCATGGTCCATCTTCTCCTGCCTTCCCTCTGAGGTTTGATGGTCTGTTCAATGCTTCTATGTCTCTCAATCTATTTTTGTTCATCAGTTTATGTTGTTCATTATATTCCACAAATGAGTAAGATCATGTGATACTTATCCTTCTCTGACTGGCTTATTTCGCTTAGCATAATGCTCTCCAAGTCCATCCATGCTGTTGCAAATGGTAAGAGCTCTTTTTTTTTCACAGCAGTACAGCATTCTATTGAGTATATCTACCACAGTTTTGTAATCCACTCATTTGCTGATGGGCACTTATCCTGTTTCCAAATCTCAGCTATTATAAATTGTGCTGTTCTGAACATAGGGGTGTGTATGTTCTTTCTGATTGGTGTTTCTGACTTCTTGGGGTATATTCATAGGAGTGGAATTACTGGGTCAAATGGGAGTTCCATTTTTAATTTTTTGAGGAAACTCCATACTGTTTTCCACAAAGGCTGCACCAGTCTGCATTCCCACCAGCAGTGTAAAAGGGTTGAGGATTCCCATTTCTCCACATCTTAGCCAGCACTTGTTTGTTGATTTGTTGATGATAATCATTCTGACAGGCGTACCTCATTGTACCTCATTGTTGTTTTGATTTGCATCTCTGGTGATTAGTGATTTTGAGCATGTTTTCATGTCTCTTGGCCTTCTGTATGTCTGCTTTCAAGAAGTGTCCATTTAGGTCCTATGCCCGTTTTTTGATTGGATTGTTTACCTTCCTTGTGTTAAGCTGTACAAAGTCCCTATAAATTTTAGAGATTAAACCCTTATCAGAGATAACGTTGGCAAATATGTTCTCCCATGCAGTGGGCTTTCTTGTTGTTTTGTTGATGGTTTCTTTTGCTGTGCAAAAGCTTTTTATTTTGATGTAGTCCCATTTGTTTATTTTCTCTTTAGTTTCCATTGTCCTAGGAGATGTGTCAGTAAACATATTTCTTTGACATATGTCTGATATTTTGCTGCCTGTGGATTCCTCCTAAGATTTTTATGGTTTCCCGTCTTACATTTAAGTCTTTTGATTCCTGGTCAGGGCACATGCCTAGGTTGTGGTCTTGATCCCTGGTAGGGGGTGTGCGGGAGGCAGCTCTCCCATCAATGTTTCTCTTTCCTCCCTTCCTCTCTCTCTAAAAATCAATAAACTATTCTTTTTTAAGAAAAGGAATTTAACAAAGGATTTTAAAGGAGCTATCTCAGAATATTTTAATGAGGGAGAGACATGTAAAGTCATCATCATTCCAGAGATGAGCTAAATATACAATTTCTTAAGCTTTCAATAAATTATTTAATTACTCTATATTGGGGGAAAAAGCAAAAGCAATTCCTGTGTAGTTCAAATTCCAGTAAGAGAATGGGTATTGATTTATCTTATTTCATCTGTTTCAGGGAGCCTACAAGAGTAGCCAGCCCATCAAAACCCATGGACCTCAGAATAACAGACATCTATTATACGAGCGTTGGGCACGCTGGGGAATGTGGTACAAGCACCAGCCCCTGGATTTAATCAGGTACTGGCGATGGATCAATAATGGAAGATATATGTTGTTTTATTGTCATTTTCTTAGATTGGAAACTATTTTATTTACTCATCAAGATGCAATCAGAAAAAAAAATAATCCACTATGGGTCTTCTCAATTAAGGGAATTTAATTTAGGAAATAGGTTACACAGAGGATGGGAAAGCTGAGAAATCAAACAGGAATAACAAGACAACCAGAGATTAACAACGGTAGAAGATTGCTAACTACCCTCAAGCTGAAGGGGAAATAGAATGAAGTATATTTCAGGGCCTAAAACTTAGACTGTGCAATCCATGATTAGACTACCTGTAACGAAGTGGAAGTGTAGGGAGTAGAGCTATGAAGAAGCCTTGGCTGCTCTGGAGACAGCACTGAGGAAAACCAAGAGAGCAGAAAAGTTTATGGCTTCTCCCTTCCTTGGGGTCTCCCAGTACCTCCTGGCTCAACTTAACCAGGAGCAATTTATGAGACAACCTGTGTTATCTACTTCCCTGTGAAAACAAATCAAAACCAAGAAGCAGAAAATGGTTTTGAGAGCAAATAGGAAAATGACAACAAAGCATCTATACATTTATTTATCTTTCAACAAAGATTCAGTATCTGTTCTATTTCAGGAAGTTTATCCCAGTGAATAATTATCCTCAACTTGAATTAGTTTTGAAATTCTGTTATATTCATGATTTATTTTATTTTGATCTAACTCAGATAAATATATGTACTCCTGTCAAATAATATTGTTACCTCTTATTTGACCTTTAACAATGTGTAAATTAAAATCTCAATATAATACTGTCTGTGTAAGGTGTCTATCTGTGTAGTCTTCTAAAGATATTTTGATATATTAGTAATATATTAGTAAGACTCCAACCTTCAAAGGATACTTGTTTAAAGGCCTTGTTGCAATACATGTTATTAAAATAGTCTTCTGTTTCAAAGTAGAACATAAAAATCTATAATAATAAAAGCATAATATGCTAATTAGAGTGAATGTCCTTCCGGACAACCTTCCGGATGAAGTTGGGGCTGTGAGGGAAGCCCAGGTCCTGGGTGCCTGCCAGTGGCCGGAGGGAAGCCTGGGTCCCGGGTGCCTGCTGGCAGCCAAGGTCCCAGGTGCCAGAGGGAAGCTGGTGCCAGCAGTAGGGGGGAAGGAAAGCCTACTCTTGCACAAATTTCATGCATTGGGCCTCTAGTGTTATATAAAAATATTGTATATTGTATAAAAAATGAATTGACTATTGATCCATGTCTCCTAGGAGAAATAAATGGACAAAAACATCAAAATATTAGATAAATGATGCTTAAAGGAGGATGACCTTATGTCCACACTTGGTAGAATATACACAAGTTTTAGTTGGAACAATCTAGAAAATAAAGTAGAAAAGGAATAATTTTCAGAAAGACAAGTCTTGTTAAGGAAAAAAAAAATAAGATCATTTTCTTCCCAGCAAGAATCACTGCCCAAATGAACTATAAAACAACAGGCTTTAAAACTACTGCTGGGGGAAAAAAAAGCTGTGTGTTAAGTAACCATTTTAAGAAAATGGAGACCAATTAGTAGTAGAGAATTCAAAAATTTTTTATCTCTTACCAGAGCGTTAGAAATGGTGTGACAGTTACTATTGACAGTAGACTTGGTGAAGAAAGAGTGATTGAGTAGTTTTTAGAACCATGTTATTCTTCTGCCATTTCCACATACTAGTAAACTGTATTCATCAGCTGAAGGGAAATAAAATACATTCATTCCCTTATCTTCACTTGATCCTTCCTGTGGTGAGAGCTAGTAAAACAAGACACAGTCCACTTCTCAGCAGCTTTCAGTCACGGGAAGGGGAAGGAGTGGAGGAGTGCTGGGTCAGTGTCATGCAGTATATAAATTCAGGACACGGAAACGTGGCTAAGGGCGGGACATCTAACCCAGGGTTGGAGTGGAAGTCAGTGATATAAAGTGAAGGGTAAGTACAAGCCAGGCACGGGATAAAGATAAAATGTAATATTCCAAAGCATGAACCAAGAAAAGAATCACGTGCTGCAGGAATTGCAGACTTGAGCTTCGTAGAGGAAGATGTGACATAATTATGCAGATTGTGTGTAGCATAAGGGAGTCTGGCCAAGGGTGCTGATGGAGACTGAAATCATTTCTGCTCTCCCCATCCACCTACAGAGGAGACTTTTTTCTAATTTATGCGAAAGCAATACGGTGTGGCACAGATATGTGTGTAGAAAACAAAAAGGGATTCTTCTTGGAGTATGGAGAAAAGCAAGAATTTGCTTGCAAAAAGCTCTATGAACCATATTAAGTTTGATACAGAAGTATATTTTATAAAATTGTTCCTATGAGGACAATGTTTAAATATAAACAATGTCACCATTATTAGAATCATTAGCAACCATGACTATTAAGATAGCCCAGGTGGAGCTGCCAAGGGACTGGTCTGGAAGCCACAAGTGTCCATCTGAAACTCTGACGATGTATAGTGTCACTTATGTTGCCTTAAGCTAAAAATTTGCTTTCTCATGCAGGCTGTATTTTGGTGAGAAGATTGGGCTATACTTTGCGTGGCTGGGATGGTATACTGGAATGCTGATTCCTGCAGCACTGGTTGGCTTGTGTGTTTTCTTCTATGGAATATTTACAATGAATGCAAGTCAAGTAAGGTAAGCTTCTAATAGACTTGTTGAAAATCGTTGGCCTTTCTTCTGATTGGACAAAAGCTTTATGATAATGCTGACTATATAAACAAGTGATAGTACTATAATATATTTGCTGTTTTTTGTGTTTGTTTATTTTTTGTTTGTAGGGAAGCATCACCATATAAAAGGTAATTTCTCTAGTATTGTTACTGGTGGGTTGCCCTCCTGTGGCTGGTGGAAGTGGGCTTCTTGGGGTGCCACAGGAAAAAGAATTTCCTCAGGCCTCCATGGGAGGATGGGGTATCATGGAAAGCTTTATTGATGATGTAAAATTAAGGAGGTTTTCTTCCAAGGTCCCATTTCCCCTCTGTCTCGTCATGGAAAAAGTCCAGCCTTATCTTCAGCAGAGGTAGGATTGAAGTCACTGCCCAGAGTTTCTGCTCCATATTAAAGTGCAATCCAGTCCAGCACTTAGCCAGGTTAGATTGTGTTCCCAACTGCAGTCCATTGCGTGTGGGGTCTACATGGCTAAGGGCCACACGTCTACTAGGGCCACATGGTGTGCTAACCCACACGCCAGCGTGGGTCATGGAGCAAGGGAGCAAGACCACAAGAGAGCAGGAGCAGGACAAGAGAAACAGAATTCTTAGTCTAAGGATTTTAACCTTCCAATATTTTGCCTGTTTGCAGTGGCTCTAGCCCCTATCCAAGTACCTTTTTCCCAGGTTAAACTGACAGGCAAAAGCACCTTCCACAGATCACTTTATTGCACATGCACCCATCTCTCCCTTTGTTTGATTCCTTACCCCAGTGATCTGCAAAGAATACATAGATGGTTCCCTAGGGAGCGTGAAGTTTTAGCTTCCTGGTGAAGCTGCCCAGATGACCATGCTTATAATGTCTGGCCATCCCTTTGCTTTATTTCTATTATTAATATTAGCTAGCTGATTATGACAATAATACTGTTATATGAAAATTATTTTGCATAAGTCCTAAAATTATTTCTGTGTATGTCAATTTTTTCTTTCTAGTATATGCCACATAATAATTCAATAATGCATTAGACAGTTTTATATAATTTATATTTGCATAGCATTTAGAAGTCTAGAATGCCCTCTCAATACATTAGTTCAAATAATTATATAGTTATAATTCTTTTAAAACTTATAATATGTAATACCTTAATCAATTAAGAAATTTAAAAAAAACTTATAATATACAAAGACCTTCCAAATATGTTGTTTCATTTAATATACCCTTTACTACCAGCCTTTGAGGTGAGTATTCCTTTTTGCTGATGAGGGCACCTTACATACTTAAAGATGTCTAAAAAAATACTCCTCCCACAGAAGCCTTTCTCTAAGCAGCCTGCTCCCCTGAGAACAGAAAGTTGCTTTCTACTCTCTTACTCTCTAGGAACAGATATTGTAATAGTTTTGCATCACTTAGATATCAAGTAGTTGTGAAATAAGGTCCAACAAAAATCACACATTTATCAGAATAGTGATTCTTTTGTTAAAGTTGAATGACCCAAGATTTGATTATAGGATCAGTACATTATTATTCAGCAGAGGTAACAGTCACCCTGGCACCAAAGACTCTCAACAGCATGTTCTCCTTCATATATCACAAGGACATCATTAAGTTCAACCTTGTGTGGTACTCAAAATATGAAAAACACCTCTCCCATCCAAAGCTCAGCACTTTTTGTTGTTGTTCCAACTTTTAACCATGGCCTTGGCACTGGGTAGTAATCAGGACAATTGAGGGAACCATGAAAATTCATTTCCTTGAATTTTTAAAAATATGTATGTAATAGTCATATTATACACACACACACACACACACACTAGAGGCCCGATGCACAAAATTTGTGCAAGGGGCTTGGCCCTCACAGCCCCAGCTTTATCTGGAAGGTTGTGTGGAAGGATATCTGGAAGGTCGTTTGGCTGCCCAGTCTAATTAGCATATTACGCCATATATATATATATAGATATATATATTTATAACAGTTTTCCCTAAAAACAAAGTACTTTCTTTGTTCTAGAGATGAATCCTGCTCCACAGACAACTTCCTTGATTTGGTATCTCAGCATGAAATCTAAATGATAATTAGCATGAAAACAAACAAAAAACAACTACTGTTCCAAAGCATTTCATCTAGTCATAGGTTTATTTCAGAATTTGGCAGCTTCACTGCCACTCTGGAAGATAGCATCTTCCTGTCCTTTCGTTTATTTAATCACTGTCTTAGAGTTTTCAGTGGATAGATCTTTCACCTCCTACATTAAATTTATTCCTTACCATTTTATTATTTTTAATGCAGTTACAAATGAGATTTTTTTCTTAATGTCTCTTTTTGATAGCTTGTTGTTGGTGTATAGGAACACATGATATTTGTATATTATTGATTTTATATCCTTTAACTTTACTGAATGTGCTTATTAGTTCTAACAGTTGTCTGGTGGAGTCTTGATGGTGTTAGAAAAACACTCTTTAAAATGAATTAACACAGACAGAAAATTATTCTTAGACAGACTTACTGTTCAAGCTGATTCCATAGGTACACATTCACAAGGTTTTATCATGCCATGTAGACTCCCCCTCCACCCCTCCGAAGCTGAAAATGAACAAAAGGCTATGAGAGGAATAGATTTGCTATTCCTGTTGATGTATGTACCCATGGGGTAAATTAGGCCTCTTTTGTATGAGGTAAATACTCTTTAACCGTTAGTACAAGGAGTGTTTTAAAAGGCATTAGCAAACTCTTTTCTTCGGTGCTTTATGGTATTATATAACTGCTACCTCTGTCACACTGTAATTAAGATCCTGTCAGACTTTCTATTCTAAATCAAGATAAGCTTCACTGAATATCTTGACTTTCAAAATTTCTTGGAGCTGAAATTTTCCATTCAAGGTGTCAGATGTGATTAAGTTGTAGGTGTTATCACTTCGGGTAAGGGGGAATAAAGGGCTTTTATTTTGTATTGCTTTGTTTTAGTATAATTTTTAAGTTCTTTTTTGTTTAAAATGTAAAAAAGCTGAGGATTTGGTTGTATTTATTATGTTTCTGTCAGCTAAGTTCACATAAGTTAAAGTCACATATCTTAATTGCCCTGCAGTAGAATTATATAACCAAGTTATAGATTTATTGTATGTATATGTACATGTATATATTCACATGTGTTCATTGCTCTTGTAATGAAATGTGGTCAGATTTATGCATATGAGCAGACATATCATAAGAATATGAAAATGAGCAAGCAGGTAGATATGGCCTCAGGCCCTGGGTTTCCGGTCCAGAGCAAAGAACAAAAATCCCAACTTTCTAGTCTATTCTTTCCTCTTTGACATTAGAATTTACCAAGAAATGTGTATGGGGCTCAGTACTGACCAGCTTTTCAAAAGCAGTTGAGTCCTAAAGGGCCTCTGAAACTGTCTCCTGACAACATCCTTAGCAACAAGGGTTTCTTTCATTTATTAACTGCCTTTATTACCAATAACCCTTATGTAACATCCCAGTTAGATATTATCTCTAACTAGAGATAAAGATATTGATCCTCAGAGAAGTAAATGACTTGGTCAGGGGAGGCAATGGTCACCCTGACCCTGAAGGCTCTTAACAGCATGTTCTATTTCAAATGGGCAGCTCATTTTCAAACCTCTATCTAATATATTTTTTAAATTGTAGCAAGAATACTTAACAGATCTATCCTCTTCAAAAATGTTTAACTGCAGCCCTGGCCAGGTGGCTTAGTTGGTTGGAGCATTGTCCCATACACCAAAAGGTTGTGAATTCGATTCCTGGTTGGGGTGCATACCAGAGGCCACTGATCAATGTTTCTCTCTCACATCAGTGTTTCTCCGTTTCTCTCTCTCTCTCTCTCTCTCTCTCTCTCTCTCTCGCTTTCGCTCTCTCTCTCGCTCTCTCTAAGTCAATCAAAATATTTAAGTGCACATTACAGTATTGTTAACTGTGGGCACACATTGTAGAGCAGATCTCTAGAACTTATCTTGCATAGCTGAAACACTATACTCTTGCACAGCAACTCCCACTTCCCTCTCCCCTACCCTTTGGCAAACAGTATTCTTCTCTGTTTCTATGACTATATCTGACAATAGATATTAAACAAAAGAAAGCCACAATTCAAGGGGTGGTTATATTATCCTGCTCAGCAAAAGAAATTAGGAAACACTCATGCTGGCACACTTCCTCCCTCTAGTGGTTAAGTGAAATCAAAGAAATTCCCCGTAGTCTCAAATAAGGCTACAAATTACATTGTCAAAAATTGTTTAATATTTTTTATTACGTATCAAGTTAAACTTGAGCATGTTATAGAAAATGAGATTAATGATTCTGGCATTAAAAACGGGATTCATTCTTATGGCTTGGATTCTAGACTTGGTGCTTTAGTTTGACCATTTGGAAAATGACATAGTATAAACCGACTTTATAATACCATCTTAGTATGAGATTTCAATGCAGGGCATATCATGCCATTCTTTAAACACAATGAATTATGATAACAAGCCCATTTTAATCAAAATTTCCTTAAAGATGTGTGTTAATTCTTCTTATTTGTACAAATGTGTGGTATGACTAAGAGAAAATATAACCCTCTTGTTCTTTGGGGCTTTTAAAATGTATTATTTTACCTGTGTCTTCCTACTTCATATAGGCATTCTGATTACTAGAAATATGATGTGTGATCATGGGAGGATTATAGTGTATATGAGACTCATTGCCTCATCATCACTAATAAATTGGTTTTTGATAGGAAAATTACTTTTAATATAAAGCAAATATATCCTTCTTTTAGATATATTATAGTTGGTGGAGAATTGGACCCAAAATCAGAAAAAAAACTACAGTCTGTCCCCTGAACTACTTATTGTTAGCTGTATGACCTTGAGAAATATCAGTTTCCTCTCAGTTGTGGGGATAGGGATAATTATCCTGGCAGGAGACTGCAGTGAGGACTAAATGTAATGGACATGAACTCATCTCTGCTCACAGAAAAACACTATATTACTATATAGTATTTGTACTTGCTATTTATTCTGATTATGGCTTGAGATTATACATATTCCACACATGAAATTCACGTTAATTGTTTTTGCTTCATTTGAATGTAGACATTTTAGAAAATTGCCGTTCTTGCTGCAAACATCACCTATTAAACTTTTATCTTCAGACATATATTCAAAAGCCTTGAAATTACTTTCATCATTTCCAGAGCAGATTTACTTCAAGACAATTTATTCAGGGGATACTCAGTTGGAAAGAACCATGCATGACAGATAAAGGCACAAAACATCTTAAAAATAGGTTGCTGTAAACTCTTAGGCTGTGAGACTTTGGATAAGTTATTCTTGATGCCTTACTCCTGTCACAAAGTCATCTATAATGTATGCTGAGGTGTTTTTAAAAGTAGTGGCATAAAACTGAAGAGACAGATATTATACAGTTACATTCTAAGAGAGAATATAACATATTTCAGTAAATAAAAACTGTCAGTTCTGCATGACAGTGTGTGAGAGGTACACAGAAAAAAGGGAAGGGAAGGGGAGGGGAGGGGAGGGGAGGGGAGGGAAAGGAAGGGAAGGGAAGGGGAGGGGATGGGAGGGGAGGGGAGGGGAGGGGAGGGAAGGCAAGTCAACTCCCTCAAATTTCCACTAGACATGATGCACTGATTTACTGCAGTGGATGTTATGAAGTTGTGTGAATTATGGATGCTGTTCATTCTGGTGATTCTAAGGCAGCAAGATACAAGTGAAAGATAGATTTGAGAAATCAGAATAGTTAGATTTGATTCCAACTCAGCCATTTCCAAGCCTGTGAACTTGGTTAAAATTCCCTTGGGTGTTCCTCACAAAATTATCCTGTGTGTCATAACATCATGTGTAAATGTGCTTTTGCAACAAAGCACCACAACTGTCTCCCAAGTATAAAAATATGGCCTATGATCATTACATTATCTGGGTGGAGATATCTAAAAATAAAGAAGCAAACAGAAATTTCTATATCACAAATATCCTAAAATTCAAGTTGGAGCCACAGTTTTCAGTTCTTCTGCAGCCCCACTATTTCCATTTTTTTTTTGTCTGTGTTGCTGCTTCCCTCAGGATTGACTGTAGGAGCTAAGCACCTTCCTAAACATGAAGCTTTATGCTTTCTTTTTCTTCTTTGATTTCTCAAGCAAAGAAATTTGCAAGGCTACTGAAGTCTTCATGTGCCCCCTCTGTGAAAAGAACTGCTCACTACAGAGACTCAACGAAAGCTGTATCTATGCCAAGGTGAGTGCGGACGCTCACATTCTCCTTCCTGAACTCCAGGTAGGAAAAACGTCTTTCAATGAATGGCTTTATATCAAAGTTAAATGTCCCCAAGAGTTTAGACAATCTATATCATTGACAATGAAATAATATGTCATGGTAATTACAAAATGAGTATGTTTTTATTTAAATATTATTGTCTTCCTTTGTTTTTATTAATTGGTTATTGTCATCATTGACACAAAGCTTCTCTTAGAATGATGTCTAGATTCTTCATAGGAAAAGATAATTTTTATTACTAATGATTGCATTTGAATCTTCCATGAAGTCTCATGAAATTAAAATACTTCTCATTTTACAGGGGAAAAAATGAAATGACATGCCAAAATTCTCAAATTGCTGCCTCTCATAGTTAACTGAAGGTTTTTTAAAACTCCTTAAGTCCAAGTAACACCCAGAACAAATAAATTAGAATGTTTGGGTTTGGAACCTGGGCATCAGTATATTTTAAAGCTTCTCAGGTGATTCTACTATGCATACAAGTTTGAGAAACTGAATCTCAGTTACTTATGTAAAACAGTTTTATTAAATTATAATCCTATCTAATAATAGACAAACATGGTAATTAACTGTAGCTTTGACACGATTCCCATTGGCTAATCAGGGCGATATGCAAATTAACTGCCAACCGAGATGGCGGCCAGCAGCCAGGCAGCTGAAGCGAACAGGAGGCTTGCTTTCTCCAGTGGAGGAGGAAGCCAAGGTTCCCCGCCTGCCTTGCTGGCCTCAGAGCTGCTCTCTAAGAAACAATGTTGCAATTATAGAAGCTAAAAAAAACCCAGATACCTGCTTTCAGCCATCAAAGCTGGAGCAAGCAGGACCGAAACAATGTTGCAATTATAGAACCCAAACAAATCCTAGATTCCTGCTATCAGCAGCCTAGGCCTCAAGCTGGAGCCTAGCCTCAGAGCTAAAGCTGGCTCTCAGCTCCAGTGACAGCCATAGAAGGTAAATAAATCCCAGAATAAAAGTAAAAAAGAAAAAAAGGAGAGGTTGGGAGCTCCAGTCGCCTGCCAGCCTGAAAACGGCCCTCAGCCCCTCACCCAGACTGGCCAGGCACCCCAGTGGGAACCCCCACCCTGAAGGGGGTGTGACCAGCTGTAAAGAGCCATCATCCCCTCATCCAGGCTAGCCAGGAACCCCAGTGGGGACCCCGACCCTGATCCAGGACACCCTTCAGGGCAAACCAGTCGGCCCCCATCCGTGCACCAGGCCTCTATCCTATATAGTAAAGGGGTAATATGCCTCCCAGCACCGGGATCAGTGGAGCCACGAGGCCTCCTGGCACTGGGATCAGCGGAACCGCGAGGCCTCCGGCACTGGGATCAGCAGAGCCGCGAGGCCTCCTAGCACCGGGATCAGCGGGGCAGCGAGGCCTCATTGCCCCGGTGTCAAGCGGAGCCGCGAGGTCTCCCAGCATTGGGATCAGCGGAGCCATGAGGCCTCCTGGCCCCTGGAGCAGCGTGACAGGGGGCAGCGCCAAACCCCCTGATTGCCCTTCAGCTCTGTGTGTGACAGGGGGCGGGGCCACAACCTCCCTATCCGTCCTGCTCTGTTCCTGACAGGGGAAGGCGCCCAAACGCCCTGATCGGCCCTGCTCTGTGCCTGATAGGGGGGA